AGGGGGCGTTTGAATAGAGACAGCAGTGCGGGGGATAAGGGGTGGCACAGGCTGCACCACCTTCTTCCTGTTCCATCAGCTGCCTCTGTAGGAGGCAGTAAACAGTGGGGCAGGTGGGTCCCCAGAGCCAGCATGCACGGAGAGCTGGCTTGAAAGCAGGCTCTCCATGTGTATTGGCTCCTGCTTTCCTACTTCACCTTCTGTGCCGCTGCCTCTCTATCAGAGGCAGCAGCATGGGGGTGGGGAGAAGAGGCAGATCCAGTGCTCGCGGGGAGTCAGCTTAAAGCTGCCTCTCCTTGGGCACCGACTCCTGCCTCCCCTGTCCTTGCTGCCTCTGATACAGAGGCAGCAAGGGGGGGCGAAATGTGAGTCGTCGACAGGAGTACAGCCGCTCCCCGACTGGCAAACGGTCGAGTTATGACCGTTCGCACTTACGACCAAAGCTCCCAACAGAGCGGTCGTGTGTAACTCAATGGGGTCCGAGTTACAAACGGATCGAGTTACGGCTAAGTGTTTGGTCCGTAACTCGTTCGTAACTCAGAGAGAGGCTGTAATTGATAAGCCCAGGCTTGTCAGTTAATTATTTAGTCGTCTACATGTTAACATCCCTATTCCTTACCCCTAATCATTTCTGTTGCCCTTTCTATACCTTTTCCAAATCCAATATATCATTTTTTAAGATGGGGTGACCAAATCTACACACAGTATTCAAGCTGTAGGCATACCATGATGTTTTAAGAGAGGCAATATAATATTTTCTGTCTTATTATCTATTCCTTTCCTAATGATTCCCAATATTTTGTTATTTTTTTAGTCTGCCACTGCACATTGAGATGATGTTTTTAGGGAACTATCTGCAATGATTCCAAGATCTCTTTCTTGAATAATAGCTAATTTAGACCCCGTCATTGTTGTATGTATAGTTGGGATTATATTTTTCCACGTGCATTACTTTGCATTTATCAACACTGAATTCCATCTGCCCTTGTGTTTCCCAGTCACCCAGTATTGTGAGATCCCTTTGTAACTCTTTGCTGTCAGCTTAATTATTTTGAGTAATTTTTAGGGATGTTAGAATATAGTCAAGTAAACAATTAACTGACAAAACTGGTTTAATCCTATTGACTACACACACTACACACACTCCCCCTCCCCCTTGCTGTGGGGAGCGGGAGCCGGTGCCTATGAGGAGATGGCTTTAAGAAGGCTCCCCACGACCACTGGCCAGCTCCCCATGCATATTGGCTCTCGTGGACCCACCTGCCCCCTCTTGCTGCCCCCTATGGCCAGCCAGTCTGCGCGAGGAGCCGGTTTTTAAACTGACTCCCCTCGCATGGATCGGCTCTCACCTGCTACCCTGCGGTGCTGCCTCGGATACAGAGACAGCTGCGTGGGGTGGCAAGGAGATCCCAGGGAGTGGGGCCAGGAGCGCACTGACTGCTGGCCCCACCCCGGGGACTATTAAATAGTTGTATAACCAATAAGATTTCATGCAATTACATGACTATTCAATTACATTATAACTAACATCTCTAGTACCTGCAAATTTTGCCACCTCATTATTTACCGTTTTTTCAAGAACATTTATACATTTAACAGTACTGGTCCAAATTCAAATCACCCCATTTGCCCCCTCCCCCCCCCCCCCCCATCTTTTAAGTACCTGACAATGTTTTCATTATGATCTAAGGATCCTACAATTACTTGAATGAGGCTGCAAGCAGCTCAAACAAACTCTGTTACATTTAAGAACTGCCTCTGGAGCCCGGGCACGCAGCTTTAAGCAGACCTCAAGTATGAAATCCATGGCTCAAACTGCCCCCCCCCCCAATACCTTCTAAATGGCACCCTTGCCTCATTCCTTGATGCAGATGAACAGACAGCAATGTTCCCATATGAACTGGGGGCTGGAAGAGGAGCTTCAACCCCACTGCCCTCTCTAAAGGGAGCATGGGGGGGTGGTGTGGAAACTCAAGTCTGGGGCAGTCCTGGATAGGGCTGGGAGTGGGAACATGCCCCCAGCCAGCTCCTTTCACCTGCCTGGCGATTCTCTCTCTTTTCTGTATTGTTTTATGAGAAGCAACTTCATTCCATGCACATCCTATTTTCCTGGTACAACCAAGCCCTTATCTTGCTTTAAGTTATGATAAGAGAAAGCTGTATACCAAATCTGGTGGTCCTAGCTCTTACTGTTTAGGAGGAGTTCTTGAACAGGAAGACAAACTTTCTCATACATCTAGATTTAAAATTTAGCGGTAGTTAAAATGCATTTATTCAGGTAAACATTTACATGGGCTGCGGGCGGTTCCCTAGGAGCCAGTGCTTGCAGAGAGCGTGCTTAAAAGCCAGTGTGATTTAGATGATTCCTAATGTACTGCTGCTACAACTGCAGCTTTACACAGGTAATGATTATTATGTACTATTTCCAAATTAATGAAACCCGAAGTTATCTAAAAAAATTATACAAAGTGTACCCTCTTAGATGTTGTAAAGTGCTGTAGTTGTAAATTAACATGTTTTAGTGATCAGATTTGCTCCTTTGTTTAAGAAATACTAGAGGGTGGTGCCCTCTGCTCGTTATGCTCACCAACCTCCCTCTTTGGGGGTAGGCCACCCTGGCTCCCTCTCAGCCACCGAAGAAGACCAGGTTGAAGTGTAGCACCCCTGGCCTGTCCCAGCTCTCTCACCTCCATCCAGAGGTTGGGCAGGACCAAAGCTGGCCCGGCTCTCTCCCCTCCAGCGGGCTGTGCTGGGCCAAGACTGCGGCTGGCCCTCTGGCAGGGACAGGGAGGGGGAAGGGGCCACAGCATCCAGCCCTCTCTCTCTGGCAAGGAGGGGGCATGGTGCATAGCATTCTCCCTCTGGCTGTGAGGGGGGAGGGCCTGCAGCTCCAGCCCCCTGCTGACCAGGGGCAAGGCTACATGGCTCCTGTGTGCCCCCTCTCCCTGGACCACCAGTGACACCTCACATGTCCTGTGCGCCCCCTCCCCACACAAGGCTCTGCGGCTCCCCAGCCCTCTCTCTCTGGCAAGGAGGGGGCATGGTGCATAGCATTCTCCCTCTGGCTGTGAGGGGGGAGGGCCTGCAGCTCCAGCCCCCTGCTGACCAGGGGCAAGGCTACATGGCTCCTGTGTGCCCCCTCTCCCTGGACCACCAGTGACACCTCACATGTCCTGTGCGCCCCCTCCCCACACAAGGCTCTGCGGCTCCTGTACATCCCCGCTCCAGCGAGGTAGCACGGATCCTACGCCCCACTTCTCCCCACCCAAGCCCCTGCTGCTCCTGCATCCCCCACAAGGCTGTGCAGACCCCCT